TCTCCCAAAACTGACTCAAAGATCACAAAACACCTTCAATAACACACCAAATTACAATTTAATGATCAAACTGTACTATTAGATTCATCTAAGACCTCAAGCTGTGATAAAAGTCCACGTACTTCGTAAGATCTACAACTGTCAACTATTTGAGGCAGGGATTATCTTTTTGTTCTGTGTGTAGTGCCTAGCAGAGTAGGTCTCTGATCCTGGATTGGGGCCTCTAAATGTTACCACAGTACAAATGTAGATTTTTCCTATTGCCAAAGGTCAAATGAGTAATTAAAAACGAGGGCAGCATAACACAAATTTATAAGCTGCTGTGATTACCAGACTAGGTCTGAAAACATGATTGGATGAATGAAAAAAAAAAAAACAATGCAAAATATTTTGCAAGTATTTTAATAAAATCATTCCTACATTTTTTTTTAATGTTAGAGAGTTAATTGCATTTGTAAAAGTGGCAGCCTGATTTTGCACATGTTGCAGTATGAGCAAATTTTCAAGCACATCTTCTGCTTTAAGAAAACAGTGTTGGTAGACTCTCCTAAAGATTACAGTATTAATGGCGGTTAGTGCTAGAAGTGGGAATGGAAACCACAAGTTGCAGATGCCCAATCCCGTGCTCAATCCATAGTACCATGTAGTAGGTACACTACTCTCCGAAATGGACTACTTTCACTTTCATGGTGAAAGTTGACAAGTGTTGATCATTTCACCAGACCTACCTCCAGGTAGACAATTTCAGACAAAAAAAAGGGGGGGGGGGAGCTTTTGCAAGTATTAAATATTCAGCAAAAAGAGCTGCTATTTCCATCTGTTTCGCAAATTCAAACTAGCCCATCGTGTCACAATAGTGTGTCCAGCTCTAATCGCAGCCTTATTTATGGGAGTCAAACAATGAGGGATAGCCCCATCCTTTCCCTTTGAAGGAAGTGTGTAAAAACTAAGAGCTATTTCCTAGCTGATGTGGAAACCAGCGATAGCTCGAAGGACCAGTTTGTCTGGGCTTGCTAATTTTAGCCAACTCAAAGGTGTTGATAGTAAGAGTACGATATACTAACAGGAATGGGATGAAGTCTTGATCTGCCACAAATAACTCTGGTATAAAACTTTACAGGACTGCTATGGTCCTAGCTTGGCCACTGCTTAGAGAGAACTGGTTTAAGATGACAAACCTCACCCACATGTGAATTCTGTACCAACACAAGCCTCTTTAAGACTAAACTCCATATCAATATGTACAGTAGATACGGAGCCTCGGCTGATCTAGTGACTCAGAAATCAAGACATAAGCTGCTTATCTTTGGTTGTCTGTTCTCAGCCGCGAATCTCATACAACAGCAGGTCCCTGACAAAAATCTTATGGGATACCTACCACTTTCAAGGAGAGTTAAGCAAATGTCCAATGTAGGCAAGTCTTGTTAGGAGATTGATCATTAAATATCCTTAGTTTTAGAAGTGACTCTGGAAAGAAATCAAATTTCCATGACTAATCATATTGGAGAGCCTGTAGCAATTCACTAATACCCTTCTCGGAACACCAAAGAGTAGGTCAGGGAAGAAAAGATTCTTTTCCCCCTCAAGCCCAGACATATAGCTATCACAGAACTTTGCTGTCTCCGAAGACAGCTCAAACCTTGCAAATCAGCATCTGAGCCGACCTAGGATGCAGGACTTCCAACAGATCCTTATGAACGTACAACACTCCTTTCTTGAGGCGAAATGCTGCCCCTGCTCCCCATTATGTGAAATTCCCACTGAAGTCAAGAAGAATAGAATTCAGCCCTTAATGGGAAAGATATGAGCAGCACTCAGACAGTTTGCAAAACTAAGGGGAAAAGGAAAAGTTAATTTCAGTGCAACAGAAAGTCTCAACATTTTGGCCTACTGAGTTGGACTGTGTTTATAAAAACACCTAGAGACGCGCCTTACAAATTTCAAAGAAAAGATCTCAAGCTTAATGATCAAGCCTAAATGTTTTTGTTTCTCTTAACTTCAGTATCCAGTTGTTGGCTACTTTTACTCAATGCTACCATTTGTTTAATCTAGCAGATAGATTGTATTGTATGAATGAGGGTGGGGGATGAGATACCAGTGTTCCATTTACTGCGTTTTTGCTCTTTCCCTCCTGGTGGTATCTCCTTTTCCATTGCTCTTCACTTGTTTGCCCAATGACTATCTGCAAGGTGAATGAGGATTCCATATACATTAGGGCTGTCAAGCGATTAACAAAATTAAAACGGCCATTAATCCCTATTAATCACAATATTAAATAATAATAGAATACCATTTATTTAAATTTTTTTGGATATTTCCTATATTTTCAAATACAGGCTTGGGGCCCAGAGCTCCGGGCTGGGGCTTCATGCCATTAATGTGTTAAAATTAATGCATTAATTTTGTTTTCAGTCACAGGTGTTAACTGTGATCGACAGCCCTAATATACATACATACTGAAGGAACTTACTGTTAACAACCTTGGGGGATCATTTTGATTTTGGATGTCTGGCTTGTGTCACCACATGTAACATCCCCTTCTGACTTGCAACCCAGCGAGGCAGTAGCAAGACAGACAACAGCATTCTATGCAGAACTGTTTCACTGGGGCAAGAGGTGTGCCACAAACCCCCAAAAAATGCACATTTAAAAAGTTCACAACATTGTCACACCACAAAAAAAGAAGTTCCTTTACTTCAGGGACACAATCCAGATTACCAAAAAGGAAAAGATCTTTAAAAATTTGCAAATTCCTTGAGAAATTAGTCCCTTCCTCCCCCCACCTGTCTTTTTGATCAGTTCAAGAAAAATCCTTTCAAGAGTCAAAACCTCTGCTAGAGGAACAAAGTTATGTCTTTCATGCTAAAGCATTCCTCAGACACAAATACATGTGTTTAACAGGATACAGAACAGCAGCATTCAATAAACATTTGCAGATCACTATTCATTTTAATAAATCTTATAGGTTAGAGAATACATACCCTGCCTTTTCCACCTTTTCCCAAGGAACAATCTCTTTGCCTCAAAAACCTTTTTAAATGTCCCAGATTCACTTTTACATTTAAGCCCTTTCACAAGCAAACTGTGTGTCCAAAGGAACAAGTCTGACCTCAGTAAAGGGCAGAACCGGCTACATTTGGTAACCGAGCTCTGAAGTCACTAACTAAAGCATCATGGTCTCTAACCTGAATGATAGTGAGCTGGATGACAGTTGCTTTTAGACACTATACAAAGACTAGAAGATAGTCAGCAAATACAAGGATGAACAATATTTTACTGACACAAAATATCCTTGAGAGATGAAACACTTCCTGACAACGGGGGGAGGGATAGCTCAGTGGTTTGAGCATTGGCCTGCTAAACCCAGGGTTGTGAGTTCAATCCTTGAGGGGGCCACTTAGGGATCTGGGGCAAAAATCAGTACTTGGTCCTGCTATTGAATGCAGGGGGCTGGACTCGATGACCTTTCAAGGTCCCTTCCAGTTCTAGGAGATAGGATATCTCCATATATTAAAATATTAACTTATCCTGTTTAACTTGTATTCCTTGGCTTCTAAAGCCCAAATACTCAGAAGATTAGCATCCTTCTGACTGAAATAATTCTATAGAGACTGAGCAAGTTAGGACAGAAGCTTAAAGGCCTAGAAAATATGACCGATGAGGAAAGACTGAAAAAACTAGGGTTGTTTAGTATGGAGAAGAGAAGGAGTAAGGGGGACCTGATAACAGTCTTCAAGTACATAAAAGGCTATTATAAAGAGAAGGGTGAAACTGTTCTCCTTATCCACTGAGGAGAGGATAAGAAGCAATGGGCTCAAATTGCAGCAAGAGAGACTTAGGTTAGACATTAAGAAAAACTACCCTTCGAAGTTAAGCACTGGAACAGGTCACATAAGGAGTTTGTGGAATCTCAGTAATTGGAGGTTTTTAAGAGCAGATTAGAAAAACACCTGTCAAGGATAAAAATAGGTAATTTAGTCCTGCCTCAGTGCAGGGCACTGGACTAGATAACCTACTGAGGTCCTTCCCGGCCTACATTTCTAAGATTCTATGAACATAAGTGCTCAAGAGGAGCCCTTGAACTTTAGGAATAAAAGGACAGCTAGCCTCATTCTTCTTCATTCTTGCCCCTAAGCTCTGAAGGCAGACAAGTGCCACTATAAACTGGTTTAGGTGATAACACTCTGGGAGGGGAAGATTGCTCCTCAAGATTACAATTTTACAGTTCTGTAAAGAACAGAAGTATTGTGGCTTGGCTTGCTTGATAGTATTTGGGGCAAAAACTGAATCCAAAACACAACTGGAGGCTGGCTATGAGTTGTTGGACTCTTAGGGTATGTCTACACTGCAGTTAAAACCCATGGCTGGCCCATGACAGCTGACTTGGGCTAATGGGGCCCGGGCAAAGAGGATGTTTAGTTGCAGTGTCAACATTCAGGCTCAGGCTGGAGCCCAGGCTCTGGGACCTCGCAAGCCTGAGTCAGGTGGCACGGGCCAGCCGCAGGTGTCTAATAGCAGTGATAGGGTTTTTCATACTCCTCTGGCCTTATTCATTTCAGCACATTTTATTTTAAACAGGTTTTCCCAGGGACACACCAGTGAGAAAGACTTCATAAGCAATATACATATTGCACAGAGGAAAAAACAGGGAAGTGGTACAATCTCTCCAAACAACAAAACCTTCCAGAAATACAGTATGCATATATTCTAATGAGGGAAACCTCAAAATCATGCCATTATGAGGATCCATTTCTTGGGTAAAATGTAAACAGGCATACATCTGTCATGGAAACAATTTGGCACACAGTCTAAGTAACTTCTGTTCATGTTAATGCACTAAGGGCACTAGTTTATAAATATTAAAAAAACCATTAGTTGTGTTGCCCGTATCAGAAAGCCTAAGCCACAGGTGGAAAGGTAAGAGAACATACTGTGGTGATTAATGTCACAAAACAGACTTCAATCTGTATTTTCCTCAAGCTAGAATTAGCACCACGTACTTTTATTGTTTTGGTTTGAAGCCTCAATCCGTTCAGCGTGTTGATAGCCTTTTCAGCATCCTTGGGGTCAATGTAGTTCACAAAGCCATAACCCAAGCTCTGTCCTGATTTGAGAGAGAAAAAGAGAAGAGAAAAAAAAAGAAAAACAAACAGTTAGTTCTGCAGTACTAGAATAACTGAACTAAGATATTTAAGACATACACCAATATACTGCACAAAAATACCCTGTATACGAGAAAGGGCTGCCTGACATACTGATTATTCAATAGCTTACTGCTCCTATCAGTGTTCTCAGACAGCATTAATGTTTATAACTGGCTCTCCTACCTTCCCACCGACTGCCCTAAGTTTAGTGCTGAAATCACAATACCCAGTTTAATTAAGAATTTGAAACATTCTTAGGAGAAATATGATCAGACTGAGAGGCAGGAGGAAATGTAGGAGCTGCTATAAGGTTAAAAGATAAATTAATACTGTGAATTTTGACATATCACCAACTTTCTCCTACGCTCAATTATGGAACAGTGATGAAATTCTTTGATAGCATTTAAAAGAATAAATGTTTCAAATGGATTAATAATTAGAAAATCCCAAATTCTGAACAAAAACCAAATGACTTGCAAAGTTATAAAAGCAACCTTTTTATAAAGCTAACCTCTTCTTCAGATATTTACTTAGTGTATGAGCTGTAGGTCTTTAAACTGGTATTGCACCACTTCAAGACTCATTTTAACCTATGTTCAAGCTACTCTACTGCATATAACTGAGCATAAGCTAAGGGTATCTTCATAAAAATGTGTGACAATTAGTTTTCTTTGGCATCTACGATGACTATTACACATGGGAAAGATGGGCTTTTCCTGAATTTTCAATAAGTTTTGGTTCACTGAACAGCCTAGTACTAACAATTGGATTGTATCCCATTATGTAGCTGTACAGGAGGAATTACAGATTACAAACTTTTTGAAACTTCAAATCCTACAATATACCACCATGAAAGTTAGTTGCCAGGACTGTAGCCTTTTTACTAAAGATTTTATCTATATGCATGCACACAAGTAACTATGAACAAGAAAAACCTTAACTAGCTTATTTTTAACAAAAATGTAACAAATAAGCATATTTTTCATCTTTAAAGAGCTTCACGAACCTAATTTTTCAACAAAGCTGTAAGGTAGCAGTTTCATTTTAGAGATAGGGAAATGAGGGTTAGACATCAAGGTAAAATATTTGACCTTTGGATCCCTAAAATTAGGCACCTGGACTTACATGTAGACACCTCGGTGGTGGTGCTGTCAAAAGGTGCTGGGTACCCAGAAGGCCCACTGACACAGGATTAGCCAAAAATACGAAAATAGCATTCCACTTTAAAATATTCTAAGATTTCACTTGATAGCAATATGAACACCTTAGAGATTAATATCATATTAGCGTACACGTGTCTGTATACAATTGACCAAAGAGCAGCAAAACATTCATGGTTCCTTACAAAAATCCTAATCATTTCAATGGGACAACCAAAGAATACCCACACAATTTTTAGTGACTTTTCTAAGAAAAATTCTCATTCTTCATAGTGCAGTTTAACAATGGTCCATCCAGTTAGCATTCTACCAATCTTTAGAAAGCCAGTCTTTTTGACAGACACAGAATATCTCTGAATACAGCACACTTAGCATTCTAATAGGCTCCTAAACATATAGGCTTAACAGCTGAAGAGCACTGTCTGTATTAATACAAAAGGTATTCCTGAAAACTAATTTCTTACCAAAGTGTTAGTCAGCCTCAACCAAAATAAATAAATAAAAATCCAGCTATTGATTGCATGCAGTGATTTGTTTATACATACACACAACCATCCTCAAAAGCAGTATTTTGTTATGGCCTCTGAGCAAATGCCAAGGCTAAATGTGAGACTTCATGTACATTATATGTGGATTTTATCAGGGGGTGGAAGGAGGGTTGAAAAGTTGAATTTCTTCTGTACTGATTGAGTGGAAAAAGCTGTTACAGGGTCCTTCCTCCCTCCCACCACAAACACTGTTTGTGAAAGTGTGTATATGAAACTGACATTCCTATTTGGAGGGCCCTACCAAATTCAGTCCATTCTGGTAAGTTTCACGGTCACAGGATTTTAAAAATCTGAAATTTGACACTAACTGCAGGTGTCCCAACCCAAAAGGGGGTCGTGGGCATGTGGGGAGCTTGCGGTATTGCCGCCATTACTTCTGCACTGCGGCTGGCCGCAGCACTGCCTTTAGAGCTAGGTGGCCGAAGAGCGGCAGCTGCTAGCCAGGCACCCAGGTCTGAAAGCAGCACCACCCCCAGCCGCAGCGCAGAAGTCAAGATATGATACTGCCATCCTGCTACCCTGCCTTCCACACTGCGGCTTGCGGTGGCGCTTCCTTCAGAACTGGTCTCCCAGCCATCAATTGTGGAGCTTCCTACAACCAGGAGGGGTTCCCAGAGGTGGCTCTGACCTGGCCCCAGGAGCAACCTGTCTTGGGGGAAAAGGAAGTCCCATCCCTCCCCAGCCTGGCCAAAGCTAGCAGCTGGATCCCCCACAGTAGGAGTCCCCAGCTGAGGTGCCACCACCTCCAAGTCCAGCGTTCGGGGTTAAAAAGGCCTTGGGTTGGCTGTCCGTGTTCGTGGGGGGTTGGCCACGGAGCCCTGGGCTGTTGCCCATGGCACCCACCCATAAGGCCAGCCCTGTCTCCCCCCTCCCCCCAAGTAATGACCCCCCATACCATGCCACCCTCACTTTTGCCGTGACACTGCCTTCAGAGCTGGATGGCTGGAGAGAGGGGGTCCAGCTCTGAAGGCAGCACAGAAGTAAGGGCGACAATACCACAACTCTCCCCCCTCCACACACACACACACGCCAGAGTTCACAGTCCGGGATGTGTTTTTCATGGCCGTGAATTTGGTAGGGCTCTACCTATTTGTATTACTGTAGCACCTAGAGGCCAAAGGAATGTCGCTGAGCTAGACTGTTGAAACAAGGAGCAAGAAAAGCCATCCCTCACCCAGAGAGGATTTTTTAGAAACAAGTAGGTGAAACAGACAAATGTCGGATGAGGTACCAGTAGGCCGGATACATTCTACATAAACAAACTAAGTCTCATTTCTCCATCTGCCTAGCCACAGAGTGGCTTAGACTATTGGGACAGGCATGTGAACAGATAATATAGAGTAGGTCTTGATACAGAGGACTGTACACTAAATGAACTTCAAAAGGTATGGTGGGGGCTGATTAGAAAGGATGGTGCGAAGCTGTGGTCCAGCTAATGCAATTCTAATTAGATAAGTGAATGAAAAAATAGTATTGTGAGGTTCTAACCTTCCATATAAAAATTTTCAGCTTACAAATTTAATTGCTACCCCCACAAACTTGAGATCTTATAGACAAGCCATGTAGAAAACAGATCCGTTGATTACTACTATGTAAAAATGAATCACTCTTTCCAGGTTCTTACCCACGAAAGCTTATGCTCCCAATACTTCTGTTAGTCTTAAAGGTGCCACAGGACTGTCTGTTGCTCTTTCCAGTTTGTGTATGTATAAGTCAGCAGCTTGCCAGCTTGAATGTGTGCAACAACCACATTTCGAAATAAAGGTAATACACTCAAGTTCAATATGCATCACACCAAAGAGTCCTTCACACCAGCTATGCTTGTCCAATTCATACTGACATAGTGTTACCCTCAAGGCAGCTTTGCTATGATGAATTGCAGCTGATCCTAACTCAAAAACTGACCTAATATCAAGAAGGCTGCTGTCCATAACAACCAATTCATTCCAAAACCCATCTGATAACTAAAAATAACCACCACACAGAGTTCATACAGTAGCCACTGCCAAAGAAGAATATTTAGTATTTAGACTCCCTCTCCTTGAGAGACTATTTATTGCATGCTACTCTCATATAGTATCATAATATAAGTGAAATTCCCTAGTCAGTGATTATAACAGACAGAGCCAGACCTCTGCTTACAACCTTCAGGAATGTTAGAAAGGAGGAGGCGAGGAACTGTTCGTGTGCCCTCCAAAAGTGGGAGAATTTTGGACACTTAAAAAAAAAGACAGCTTAACTTATTTTTAAACTGGCTGAAAAGATGGGATACTCAGAATGGGAGGGAGGGAGGAAATACTGTAGAAAATGAAAGTGAGCACATCCAACACTCTTTCAGGATTTTAAGGAACCCCTGAGAAGTGAAATACTTTTACTGTTACTTCGACAGGTTCATACTTCTATTAAATAGTGTCTAAACAAATGACAAGATTTTTCTATTAAACCTTTTAATAAAGGAAAATATACCTAATGTAATCAATTTGTTCTTTATTAAGAACAAGACAGTGAAAAGCAATGTATAAGCATTAATGAGTTTGCAGAACTACAGTCTAATTCCAAAAATAATCTTATCCAACAAAAAGGAAAAGCAAACAACCAACATACAGACAGGAATAACCATGCAAATGGATAACCACAAAAGAGTTACGCAATTACAAAATCAAGCTGTGCACAAATAAGCTGGTTAGCAAAAAAGTGAACAGTATGTGAAACCAGCAGTGAAAAAAATATATCTGAAACTGGAACCTGTAATATACACGTTGTTACCTAATGCCTCTCCCAAGTATAGCTAGGTTGGGCGTTCCAATGGCAAGTTTTACTTAGTACCGTAATCCAAATAATACAAAGTGCTTTCCACACCAAAGTGGAAGGACCACAGAGGAGCAGGTTTGGCTCTGTTCACATGGCAAAAGACAACCATGAGATTGCTTCCGGATGTCAAGTATCTCTCTAGAACTTCAAAACTGTTTTGTAAGTGTTTACTATTCATACTTCCATTAAAATAAAACTTCTGCAGAATACTGAAACTCAGAGGCCTAAAGCAAAATTAACGTGCACCAAATAAGGCAAGCCATAGCCAACATGGTTAGTCAAAGAGCAAACAATCAGTAAAAATCACCTTATTCACAGCCAGAACCACCATTTAACAGTGTGATTTTTACAGATACGAAACCCGGAGGGAGGGCTCCAGACCACTAAATATTCCAACTAAACCAGATTCACAGGAGTGGGTGCTATATTTATGGTGGCCTC